TCAGCATAGTTCAAATCCATTGAACTTAATCAACCCAGTGCCCATAGCAAACATGTTAAAAGAGCCTGCAACATTACACATATACTCATATCGTTAAATGTTTTGAGTAAACATAAAATGGATTCAACAAATAACAACTTTAAATTATGTCCATCTAAATTCAGCTTTTGGGTAATATTTAAAATAGCATAGCTTTAAATCAGATAATGATTGCCAAGAGAAAATAACTTTTATAGACTTTCATTGTGGAGGCAACTTTGCGAGCCTTTATGCAAAGTCTAAGAGAGAAGCACGCCCGTGTTTCATGCATCAGCACTGCGCCGTGCTCCCTTTCTGGAATCCAATTAACTTTTTTTTTTATTCCATTCAAACTATTCATAAATGCTCCATACAATATGCATGTTATCTTTGGATATACATTCATATTCATTCGTAAATGATAGTCTCTTTAATGCCAAATTATAATTAATGGTCTATCTTTGGGTAACCTAACAAATTATAATCAACGAACTCAATTGTTCAATTTAATTTTCACTTTCATGTCATATAACGGCATCACACAAATATAAACAATTGAAAACTGCATAATCAATGTCTAAAACAATCCAAACAAGGCCACTTTGGTGATTAACAAGTTTTCCATTCATTAAACATTGATTTATGCAAAACTGTTATGAGATTAAATTAATATCTCAAAACTTTAACGACAGAACCCAATAATATGTCATAACCATTCTCTATAAATAATAACAAAATAATTTATAAGCATAAAGAAAACAAACAGTTTTCAAATTTCTATATTTTTGGCTTCGCTTATACCATATAAATCAATTTCACCTTACGAAATTAATTTTCATTAATTGAGCCAAACAAAATGCTATCATACAAATCTAGAACAGGTACAAGCTCTGATACCACATGTTGAATAAACTTTAATAGAATAAACTTTAATATAGCCCAAATCTATTTGTCATAGAATTTGTTTTGACAAAGAATATACAAATTGGAAGCGTACCTTGATCCATAACAACAGATCTATGTTATGGGTTATCTCGTTGGGATAATTTGATTCTCACCGTAACAACAGATCTACATTTCTTCATTCTGGCCTTTTATCCGTAAGTGCTCTCTTAATGGTCAGAGAATAATCAACAGCTGCGGGAGTTTCTTTTATGAGCTCTCTCAGACAAACTATCTCCGTATGTGTTTGAGGTAGCCATCACACTCTCTTGTTTCTGTATTAACCCTAATCTGTTGATTCCTTTTCTTTTATAAGGCAGAGGAAGGGTATTAAAACCCTAACTGGCTCTTAAAAAACCCTAACTGGCTCTTTATCCATTAAGCCCAATATTAACCCTAATCTGTTGATTCCTTTTCTTTTATAAGGCAGAGGAAGGGTATTAAAACCCTAACTGGCTCTTATCCATTAAGCCCAATAACCGTTATCTTAGGCCACCTTAATTAGAATCAGCCCTTTAATCACATGGACCACATACAAATTATTAAAATAATCTAACAGTAAATTGATGAGTTGGAAAGAGAAACTCCTTTCTCGTGCAGGTAAAGAAGTACTTATCAATGCAGTCGTCTCCGTAGTATATCCCTACATATACGATGATTTGTTTCAAATTTCCTATTACCTTTTGTCATCAAATTAATTCAATGGTAACACAATTTTGGTGGGGTCAAAAGAAAGGAGAAAGAAAGCAACATAAACGGTGGTTTAGGCTTTAAAGACCTTGAATGTTTTAGAATGTTTTAATCTTGCTTTCCTTGACAAACAACGTTTGGCGACTTATTTCTTACCCTCAATCTCTTTTATCCAGAGTTCTAAAAGGAAAATATTTTCCTTATTCAAATTTTATCGAGGCTCAGCTTGGTTGTAATGCATCCTGGGGTTGGCGAAGCATTTTACGAGGGTGGGAATTCTTCTACAAGGTCTTCAGTGGGAGATTCAAAGCGGGAATCAGTTGCTTGTAATGATCCATGGTTGCCAACTAAGTTCCCTTTTAAACCTCGTCTTCTTAACCATAATAACAAAAACCCCTATTGGGTGTCTCAACTTGTTGACCTGGAATTTTGAGTTGATTAAAAACATCTATGTGATGGAAGATGCAAATATCATTTCATCTATTCCAATTAGTGTCGCATCAGGCCGAGATAAATTAATCTGGCATTTTACAAAAGATGGAAAGTATTCTGTGTAAGTCCAAGTTCGTAGTGGCTTATTACCAAAAGATCTCTTCTCTTAATGCTCAAGAAGTTGCCTTAAATCCTGATAATGGGGATCAACAGATTTGAAAAAAGTTATGGTCTATGCAGATTCCAAATAAGATAAGTATCTTCTTGTGGCAAGCTTTGAAAAACAACCTTCCAGTTGGTGAAATATTAGCCAAACATTTCCCAAATGACTCAAATATCTACAAGTTATGTGGTGAGTTGGAGTCAGAAAAACTCTTCTTTTTTTAGTGCCATCAAACTGCAGCTGTGTGGATTCACTTCCCTCTCCAACTTAGATCCTCCATTCTTCATGGTATTGATTTTAAGGAATGTTGCCAGAGCATTTGGAATGGCCTATCATCTATGAATAATTTAGACTTGATAATTCTAGCTAGCTTCATTTTATGGCAACTACGGAAAGCTAGAAACCATCTTGTGTTTCAAGATAAACCAAGAGCAAAGTTTAAACAAGAGTTTAATGAGGCCTGTCGAGAAGATCACTCTCTTCCTAACCAAACATTTGCCCCTTTGAATCCTATAGCTTTGTTGTGGACTCCAGCACCTATAGATACCATCAAGATAAGTTTTGATGAAAAATCAAAGTGGGAGTATTGGAATTATAGCTTGCAATCATGAGCATAAGGTGCTGGTTCTGTATGTTGAGCAATTTCCTTTCTAGACCAACCCGCTCATTCTTAAAGCTTTAGCCTTGAGACAGGCTATCCAATGACTATTAACCATAAATTTGACAAAGTAATCTTTAAAGGTGATTCAAAAACTATTGTTGATGCAGCACACAAGGATCAGGAGACATTTTCAATCTGGTTGTGCAGCTTCCTCATGCATCTTTCGATTTTATCAGAAGACAATGTAATGAAGATGCTCACAGATTAGTTAGAATGGGTCTTACTAATGAATTTTGTTTAAATCCTCATTACCAATTCTATTGGTTCAAGAGTTCTACATGCTACTGACTTCTCTTTTATTTCTAATATATCTGATATCGTTTTGGTTAAAAAAAAAAGAGTTAGTATAAAATGCATATTCTCTATTCATTTTTAAAGACTTATCTTTCGAAAACTAAAATACATAAAGAAATGGGATTAGAGTCTCATATGCTCACCACCTTAGGGTTAATCTCAAGCCAAAATACTTTCCTTACCCTACAAGTATGAGTGAATTATCTTGGCTCCTCCCACTAGCTTCAATACTTGATCTTGCTTTCACCCTTTTCATGGAGTTTTTAAAGTCTTCTATAGAAAAGATTTTTCAGGGATTAGATGGTGTTTGATATATTAGAAAGTAAGAGAAAATGTGAGAGTTTGAAAGGTTATTTTCTTTTCTTTGTCTTATTATTATTATTTTTTTTGAAACATAAGGAGAAAAGAAACAAATTATACCGAGGGTGAGATGGGATGATAGTTTTGGACTCGAGTCCTACATATAGAGTCCCTTTAAATATTTGAAGAGTGCTTTACCCCTTTATGGGTCTGCCCACGGTACAAAATCAAAGTTGTGTTTATAACATAAAATGTTGTAGTTAAAAATAAAAAAATAGGTTTGAAGGAAATCCAAAATTTCATGAAACAATATTAATGTAAAAAGATGTCACTCGGCACATGCGTTTAATTAATTAAGAAAGTGTCTTCTTTCAAACCTCAAACCTAAATAAATACCCAAATGTCATAACAGCAGCAAGAGCCACTCCAACAACATACTTACATAACTTAGCCTTGCTCTTCTTTCTCTCTTTTTCATTTTTTTATTTAATTTTCTTCAATAGCACTAATATAACGTGTTGAATGTGATCAGGCAAAAGGTCCATCAACCCAAGCAAAATAATTACAAGCCCCAGGCTTCTGCCTTTTTACAAATTTTAGAACGTTATTAAGAAGTAAACATATTGAAAAAGAAAAAATTATTCACTTGGCGGCCAATATATCAAAGCTTATCTCATAATTCCTGCAACTGAAGGACCTTCTCGCTTGGTTTACCTCTGTATAAGAGTGTTGCACAGAGTCGTACGTCTCACCACAATTGCACCTTGGAATCTCGTAATCTGAAGGAAAACCCCTCACTGTAGCAAGAACACCACTAAACCCTAGTTCAACTTTGATTCCTCAATGTCATAATTCCTCTATTTAATTTATTCCAAAAATTCTTAGCTTCAATGGCTCAAGATTCAATTTAAAAGTCGTCGGAGTGCCACATTGGTGGAATAAAACCTTAATCTCTCTCTTCCAATTAGCATGGCACGTGGCATTTTTATTATTAAAAAATAAAACCTTACATGCAAGGTAGGTTTTTCGAGAAGATTAGGATACCAACGAGGTTAAAAGTGTAAACATTAATCATTCTTATGCATTAAGCCAATAAAGAATACATTATTAATTAAAACATAATTTATATATTAATTAATAAAAAATCAGTTAATTCAGTTGCCATGTGTTCGGTGTAACTGAACTGATAATAAAAAACCAATTTTTTTTTTTTTTTTTTTTATAAAATAAAAAAATTGAACTAATAACCGAGCTTCTTACCACTGAAATAACAAATTTAGTTGGTTCAATTCAATTATTTGATTATTATTGAATAACGCAAACCCTAACTATAAGTCTTCATAGCTCAATTTAATTTGGTTTCAAGAATTTGTACAAATCAAATCATTAATGGTTGTTTATAAAAAAATATAAATTAAACCAAATAATGAATGGTATTCAGAGCAAAAAATTTATAAATGCAGTTTGATTTAATTTGATTTGGTTGGCTGTTTGAGAGCATTTTGTAATTTACTCATTTTTATAGAAAGAAAATAATGGGAAGTAACAAAGAAGCAAAGGAAAATCAAGGCAGCTTGAGCATTTATGTTGTAATGATTTAATAATTCAAATTCCTAATATATATCTTAACAAAGCTCAAGCAAACAAATATTTTCACGATGCTCTCACCAGAAATGATGCAGAGCCTGAAATCAGATTGCTCTTAGAATCTCCTTTCGAGGGACTTTGAAGGTTTAGAAGATGATGCAGAATTATTTCCAGGAAAGCTAGATGGCTTTATCACTGAAGAGGTTCTGCAGGGCAAGAAGCAGATTTTGATAGTGTGCATTTACAAGTAGAACTTTATGGTCACTTTATTACAAGAACAAACTAACAATATTACCTGTTATTTCTTTGCACAGAAATTTTCTTCATGGCTGCAATATTTTGCACCTCTCGACTGCCCAAAAAAAAAAAAAAAACAATATACCTGTTATTTCTTTGCACCAGAAATTTTCTTCATGGCTGCAAATATTTTGCACCTCTCGGACTGCCCAAAAAAAAAAAAAAAAGAGAGTTAAAAAAAAAAAAAAAAGAGAGGAGAGAAAATGACAGTGAACAAATTATAGAATAATTATTTCTGAACAACCTCATTGTGAAATATTGTGTGCAGAAACAAACATACAGTAAGAACACAAGCCACGTACAAAAGGCGTCACTTTTTCCTTTTTCAAAGAAATGAAAAAGGATCTGATATAGCTGCTTGCTTGGTCACTTGTGCAAGAAAAGTAACCTCTTGTTTGGATAAATGAATTTTAAGTATAGAACACATTTAAAATGGTAGAATTTGAATCCTTTAGATATATGTTGAAATTGCAAATACCACATTTGCACCAAATACCAAAACACGAAATTTCAAGTTAAATTCCATAAGTTCTGTGAAAATTATTTACACCAAAGTAGGGCATTTTTATGGTACTTCAATAACTTCCTTTTGCTGAGTGACTCATTAATGTTGAATGCTCCTTAAAGTGAAAGTTGAGTAATGCAAGCTTACTTGGGTTTGGTCCAAGAGATGCTAAAAGTTTACTACTAACCAATTAGCTAACTACTCTTCTCATTTGAGAGACATTTGAAACTTGAAATCCTCCCTCTAAAATTGAACTGCGCTTTTTACCTTTGAATGAACCTTATAACAATTTGGAAGTGAAGGGTAAGATATTAGAAAGTTAAGTAATGTGAGTTCACTTAAGTTTGGGCTAACCAATGCTAAAATATTATTACTAAATAATTAACTAGCTAATTTTCCACCTTTATGCACTTTATGGATTTAATATCTTAACAACGTGGGATTCTAAACAGTAGCTATGCGTTGGGAAGAGAGGTAATAACTTAAATACAAACACAATAATTTATTTGTATTTTTTTCTATAAATCAAATGAGCAACATCAAGTATATTCTTTATGTTCCATAAAGATAGCCTTGCTTTCCTCTTTTACTTGTCCCATATCACATGCCACTTTCCTTTATAAAGTACCATTAATTTCTTATCTTTCTAATATATCCCTTTTCAGTATGCTTATTATTAACAATTTTTCCATTAGATTTTTTATTGGAAGTGACATCTAATATTAATATAAGGGAATATTAGGAAAAATGAAAATAATATTTATTGTTTAAATAATATTAATTACTTTTTCTTTATTTGTGTAAAAGTAAACACAAGTCGGAGTAACAATCACCAAGTAAATGAAGCAATCATTCACGCGAGAACATTAATTTTATGTGGAAAATCCTTCGAAGTAAATGGAAAAACCAAAGGACTGAAGTCCGCTTCAAACCTTCCACTAATATAATTAATAGTTATAAAGTTCCTTCTCTAGCTCAGCTAGAGGCTACATCAATAACATCAAGGCACACCCTTGGCATGTACAAAATTTTATCTTTAACAAAGAGTGGATTTCTCGTTATTGGTGAAATCCGATCATCTTTTATATATATATATCTGTTATTGGTGAAATCCGATTCATACTTTTATATATATATATATATATATATATATATTATTATATATACTATTAAAAGATGAGCGATTTCACCATAACGAGAACGGACAAGAGCAAAAAGCATTTCTTTAAGATTAGTGGTATATATATATAAAAGATGATCGGATTTCACCAATAACGAGAACGGACAAAAGAGCAAAAGCATTTCTTTAAGATTAGTGAGCAATATAACGTATCAAAATTTCATCAAGATCAGACAAAAGACCATCATCCTATCAAGGAATATGTCTCCCCCTCTATAAAGACCTTTCAGATTCTCCATCTTTTCTTTCCCTATTCGCTCACTCACTTTTGTTGCACACAGACTTTTTGTTCTTAGTCTTGTGCCTTAATATATATTTGTGAGCACCACCTACTTGGATGGGACCCACATTCAAGAAATCTCCCTCTCATGTCCAAGTGGAAACAGTGACCACACCCATTGTCTCTTTACAAGCAACGAGCTTATCCGTAGGGTTTCAATCCTCATGTTAGAGCCATTATCATTTGTGTGAATCTTTACAAGTTGAAATGATTTCATCTCTAGCTTATCTCGAATTTAATGATACCTTACATCATGTTTCAATCTGGAATGAAATATCAAGTTCCTACTATGATGAATAGAATAATACATACATCTCTTGTTGAAGGTCCAACTCTTATAAGAATTTCTTCATTCACAAGAGTAGTTCTTTACTAGATTTTACAATTGCGTGTACTCGATCTCAGTGGAAGAGAATGCGACACACTTCTATCACTTTGATCGTCACAATATTCTTGCCCCAGCAAAAGTCATCACGTACTTAAAGTGGACTTCCTATAACATCATCAGCCATATATGCATATCCATAAAGGTGTACTACAGCCGAAAAAAAAGTAGATTGTAAAATTACCTTTGAGATAATTAAGGATCCATTTCACTGTAGCCTAGTGCTCTTTCAAGGATTTGAGAGGGATCGATTGACAATACTAATAGCATAAGCAAAAAGCTCGTGCATATCATAGCATACGTCAAACTAGCAACCGTGATGCATAAGGAACTTTATCATTCCTTCTTTACCATTCTCACTTAAAGAACACTGTTTATAACTTAAGTGGCTAGCAAGTGGAAAGCAAACTAGTTAGCATTGCTAATATTGAATATGATTAGAACTTTCACACTGTATTTCTCTTGAAATAACCATAACTTTTTATTTTTCATGTATTGAGAAATCTTCATGCCAAGAATCTGCTTCGCCGATCCTAATCCTTCATGGTAAAGGACTTGCTGAACTTCTTTTTCAAGCTATCAATTTCCTTAGCATCACGACCCACAATCAATATATCATCCATATACAACAATAATTAAATCACCATCAAAAATCATTTCACAAATACATAATGATCATAAGTAGTTTTTCCATGCCTCTAGTCCACCATGAAAGAGTCAAACTTCTTCTACCACTATCTAGGAGCTTGTTTTCAATACTGCACAAGTTCTTCTTCAATTTACATACTGAGTGCTCTTTCCTTTTGACTTCAAAAGCCATTTGGTTGGTCTATATAAATTTCCTCCTCTTATTCACCATTGACGGAAGCTGTCTTTACATCAAGTTATTCAATCTCTATTCCATGTTGGCTATTAATCCAACAACTCTAATAGAAGACACCACTAGCAAGAAAATCTCTTCAAAATTGATGTCCTTCTAACCAAATCTCCTTAGGAGTTGTCTTGCCTTGTATCTTGGTTGAGCTGTCCTATTTGGTCTTCAACCTAAATACCCATTTATTGTTCAATGCTTTTCTAACTTTATGCAATTTCACCAATTCATAAGTGTGGTTCTCATGCAAAGATTTTCTCTCATCTAGCATGGCTTTCAATCACTCATTTATATGACCATTCTTCATGACCTCTGAAGTAGTATTGTAGTTTTCCACCATCAGTTAGCAATACATACTCATAAGGAGAGTACCCCCAAGGAAGAAGTTCTGCCCCTAGTAAATATTCTCATCCCAATTAGATGTTTTATGCGTGTTGGCTCAGCATCGTCATATGAAGGTTCAACATCATCTTTTTATTCATTTCCTCTATCACCTTGTGGTATTGTAGGAGGTTCTAGATCTAGATCAACAGGCAACTCATTGATAAACTCTAGCTTTTTATTTTTTTGAGGGCCTTCAATGGTTTGGCCTTCTGGGAAAACAACATCTCTGCTTCTTAAAATTTTCTTATCAGTTGGATCCCATAGCCTGTACCTATATTCTTCATATCCATAACCCAAAAAAATGTGTTGCTCTGACTTAAAGTGAAACTTGGACTTTTCATCTTTTGGAACGTGAACAAAAGCTCTACAAATAAACACTCTAAAGTGGTCATAAGCAACATCTTTCCATATCCATAACTTCTGTGGCACATTTGCATTAAGATGCTAGAGGGGTAAGATTATCAAGTATACTATAGTTTTCATTACTTCACCCCAAAGGACTTTATACAGTTTGGCATGAAAGAGTAGTACATTGAATCCTTCCATAATAGTTAAACCCTATTCAGTTGAGGAGTTCTAGTAACTATCTTCCAAGCCTGATACCATGCCTATTACAATATTTTTCAAATAGTCCGTGTATTAGAATTTCATCAAGATCGAGCAAAAGACCATCATATTATCAAGGTAGTATGTCTCCCTCTCTATAAAGACCCCTCAGCTCTTCTACCGTTTTTTGATCATGTCATTATATATGATTGTGGACACAAGAAGTCAAAGCCAATTTTGTCAAAATAGCGAATTGACTCATAAAATCGTCCAAGTTTATGATTCTATCTCCCTAAAATGTTCCCTCGTTCAAAAAAATATCTGTAGAAATTAAAGGAAAGAATATGTTTTATTTCTTTCAATTTGTGATATATTTTCAACCTCTACTCCACTATATATATACACAAATTGTTCCAATATAGGAAGTAATCTAAATAGGAATATCCCTAAACTAGGAAACATAATCTTTACACTAATTAGGAATAAACCTAAACTAGGAAACACTAAAACTAGGAAAACATAATCTTTACACTAATTAGGATAAACCTAAACTAGGAAACACAATATTTACTTAAATCACAAAGATTTCAACACTCCCTCAAGGTTGGTGTAAATAGATATTAACTCATGCCGCAACTTGCAAACTAAAGGATGAAACAAAAGGATGAAACAACTTGCTATGCAAACCCTTTGTGAAAACATCAGCTAGTTGCTCTTTTGAAGCTATATAGGAGACACTTATAAAACCTTCAACTCTCTTATCTTTTATAAAGTGACGATCAATCTCTATGTGCTTAGTTCGATCATGCTAGACTGGATTGTTCATAATATTGATGGCTGCTTTACTATCACAAAATAAGCATATGTTTGTTGTTTCAACCAAATTTAACTCTTCTATTTAATCCGCGCAACCATAGAAGTTCACAGAT